TTTGCCTGCCAATTTAAATTTCCCAAAATTACCTAAATTAGTGGGTGGAATAATGGTTAATGTCAGTCCACCGTTTTGATCATAGCCTTAGGTATTTATGTTTAGGTAATAAAGGTTGTTGACAGTGTCAAATTTAGCGACGCCATTAGGCCAGCACAGCTGCACCATATCCACCAAATGATTTTAGTCTGTTCCTCCTCTAAAAAATTACCTCTAAGGTGATCAGTTAATCAGAGACGACATATTCCCCTTTAAGCTATCCTGCTTTTTCCATAGCATCACAATGGGGCCATTTCAAGTCATGTTTATTTTATTCAGGCAGATTCTTCTTATACCTAAGCCTATTTATATTTGTGACTTTAAGTAAACCGCCATTTTTATGCAATTACCAAGCAGGAGCTATCGGAAAGGGACGCGAACCTTACTTTTTCGCCTTTCAATTGTCCTTTCAGTTCGAAAAAGCAATATATTGCTTTCGTCTCTGGTTAAAAATCCAGAGTTTGAAGGCACAATGTTGATGCCTAAGCCCTGGAGTTCAAGGCTATTTCCGCCCTCGCGAATAGGAAGTTAATTAGCACTAATTATGACGTAAACAATTAATTTTCACTCAAAACTGACTGTCGTCTTTGAGCGCTTTATGCTAAGTCTAATCACACAAGCCATGTTGGTCGGTTACTAGGCTCTCAATGCAAGACTAGGAGGGTACTATTAGCATTATTCATAACCTTAACTAGGCCATGTCTACACCAAGATGTGCCACACAAAATGCAGGTGTTTCATTGCATCTTAACCCTAGGGTCTCAGGTCTTCTTTTAGATGAGGTCACGCATCAGGAGGTTGCAAAGGTGAAACTAGGTATAGTAGATCTTACTTCCTCGCTTACTTTCTAAACATGGCAGTAAGCTGTTCAGAAATTCAAGCACACGTTTTGTGAGCACATGAACTGGAGCTGTCGCGTCCTCAGTAGTCCTGCTATGGGGTATATTGTGAAATTTTTGTTAATGAGAGACATTGTTTTAAGCTTAAGCCGCCATTAAAGCTGAAAACATTCACAGCAAATTCGACCAATTTAGATGCTCAAAGCAATCTACGTGGGAGTCTTGTATTTCTAATTTTGCACGTTTCCTAGAAGTGTACAGCATGAGAGCCGTTGATTTCTCACACCAGCAGGTCGTTCCATAGTCAAGCGGTCAGAACGATTAAAACGGGTAGAGATTTGGCTAAGGGAAAACTAGAATGCCACCTCCCACCGACAAACGCGACAACCTAGTAGTGAAACACGGGTCTAGGCTTGCTAATCAAGCCTTGCGTTGTAATATTCATTTCTTAGTTGGGGCTGAATCTCTAGGTGGAACGTTTGATAATGCGGTCTGTGACAGTATCGTTAGTTCGTTGCTTAGTTATCTTTTATTCTGCTATTGTGCATTAGAGAAAGAAATCAACCTTACTATGCCGTACAGTTCATATTTCTCTGGCTCTATATATTAGGAAGGTTAATTCGACTGGTTTCTATCTATAACCATTTGATATACGGAATTTACTTCCCTGACTGATTTCATTTTTTTCTTATAAGTGCGTGATTTTCTATTTTTTAGATGTAGCCAAATAAGGTTTAGGTATTATGATAGCACAGAATGAGCTCGCAATAGTGAAGTTTCGATTGCCGACAGAGTGGCTATTGCTAGCCCTTTGGCAGTACACCAGAGTTTTGTCAAAGAATGCCCGAATTTTCAGCACTGTTTCAATCGAGCACCACCATTTAGGACAACAGTTCAATACTGAAAACAGACATTTGAAGAAGCTGTCAGCTTATCCATTATGCCACGATAAAGAATATCGTCCGATGAAATCATGAAAGAGAAGGTAGTAAATGTCGTAAAAGAGAGTTAGGGCAAAAATTAATGAGAAGCTGTATAGCGGTGTATGAACTCACAAACTTAGTTTCACAGCTATCGCATGAAAGAATAAATATTAGCATATCAAATGATTGTAAATGTAAAAAGTGAAATGTACCTGCCAAATATAGAGAGACGGAGACTAATGAATCGTACGATACTTTTCAGAAAATCCTAGAACCACGAAACCAATTAAAAGCATGGTTTAGAACGGGAATTATGGCAATCAAACAACCTTTAAGCTCTTACCGTAATTATAGGTTCATCGTGTAGAGCTACAAAGTACAGAAATGCGTGAGTCGAGTGCTTTCTGTTAGTTAATGAGCAGTTTCTCGTAGCTGCTAACACCAACCTACTACTTTTCTTTGAGGAAAGCTCGAATAGATTTTTGCTTCCTATCCTGAGAATCAAGCTCGAAGGCTTGTGTGGTTATTCCTCTGCTTTTCTACTTTTTACCCTGAATATCAGTATCTGACGAAGGAAGGGGACGCTTTATCGCCTCCGCCATAAACGGTTAACCAGCAAAGCCCTACACGCAACGAAACCCTGGACCCAGGCCATTTATGGGCAACGAATGTTTATACGACACCCTAACAAACAGAATCGATAAAAAGCGTGTAACATGAGAACGGCGGAACTGGGGGTAGGGCGGTTGAGTGGACAAAAAAGGGCGGTAACAAGTTGACAATAAAGAAGACCAGATAGGCCTACCGTCATCATTCAAGTGAGCCGGTTTTAAGTACTGAATTAAAACTTAATACATATCTACTTATCCGCGCCTACCTACCTAAAGCTCTGACCCCAAATCTAACACTATCCA